CTGTAGTCTCCTGTTTTTTTAATATGCTGCAACTCTTTTAGAATTGTTTTTATGAAAATAGTAGCCCTTTAAATAATAATTGATATGCCTCCACATTTCACTTCAAAGCTCTTGATTATGCCAGATCCAATTCTTTCTTTGGCTTCTCGAAGCATTTCTAGTATCTGTAAAGACAAATTGATATTCCACGAATGTCCTACATACGGGAATGCTGGATCTAAGGTTCGCTGAGAGTGCTCTTACCCAAGCACAATCACCAGCGTAATAAGTGGTATAAATATAACTCAAGCCTCCATTATTTTCAGTTCCCACCACATCTGCTTTTGCATGCCATAAGCCTTTGTTGGCGAAATACGCGTCAAACTGAAACCAATATTCTTCTCTTTCCAAGTTATTTTCCCACAACCTACCATCGTGTTAAGCTTCAGTTTATTTGTCGTGATCTTCTGCCAATCATACTTCCAAAAAGTGTTCACAGTCACTTTTAACAGGTCTGTTTGACGCTTTTGTCTCGCTGGAGTAGCTGTTATTGGTGCCGCTTGTTGAGGTTGCGGAACCCAAGCCTTGATTTAATTTTTTTAATATGCTAATAACATAATTACACTAAAATACAACTTACCTTAACGGATGCGGATAAAGCAAGTAGGAGAAAAGCGAGCGTCTCAGCACTCATAAAAACTCCAAATAATGTTTAAACCGATTAAAGATGATTTCACCACTTTGCATGCTTTTTAAATAGTCGATCCTTTCAACCCTCATCAACATTTAATATGTTAATTATATGAAACGAAATTTCCGAGATTTTTTCGTGGGAAATCATTGCTTATAAATACGACACACATAATTATATGAATCACCTGAGAGTTTGGAGCGAGCACGGAAAAGCAAAGTGCTCCAGAATATAGCATTCATTAGAGGTTCATTAGGTAGCAAACTTTGTTGTTATTGCTGACCACCGGTTTTAATTGGGACAAATGTCCTTCTTTTAAGGTTGAACCAGACAAGGCTCAACACTATAGTATTAACTAGAGGTTTTTTGAATATGAGCACTATTTAATCACTCATAATCAGATTTCGTAGCCTTTCATACATAGTTCTCATGTGCAGCTTGAAATTGGATTTACAGGTACATTGGACCACGGCTGTGAACGCCTTAGCATTGGTATGAGGCGATTTTGACGTTTTTTCGAAAATTGTTTAAAAAAGTGCTAAAAATTCATCTGGAGCATTTAGCCACTAGGTCCAGACACTAACTATTAAATACTGGTTTCATATTACACTTTCAGTAAATGCTTAGCCCGCGCTGAAGCCAACTACAATTTTATACCGTGATCTACCTAATTGCAGCAAAGTTGTCTTACACTTATGCCTAAGTAGAGCTACCCTTTTCAATTAGACTACTTAGGCTTGGAACAATGAAGAATTTGAAGATATAAAACGGTTCAACTTTGGATAACCTCATTAAAGACTACATATGGTAAAAAGATGTCATTTTGGAAGCCTACGAATTTCGAAAGCCACCAAAAATCTGCTAGAGAGGAGAAGAGCGCTGAGGTTGGATTTGACTGCATCACATTTCGAGCGACTGGTAGCCAAAACCAGTTGCAGAACAGCTTTGCAAGAAGATCTCCGAAAGTACAGGCAGTCAAAACTTTTGGAAGCAGCGC